TGTCTGATTAATAAATCATACTCTACTCCAGTCTCTATCAAACCGAAAGGATATCTTAATTAATATTTAAGTTGACGTCACATGCGCTCCAAAATTAATGACAATATCTTAAAGATAATGACAAAATTCCTTAATAATATCTTTTCAATAATTAATGATATAATCATATGATAACATCTACAACACGATCATTTGGTTCAAACATTGAACTATTAGAATATTAAGTTTCTTTAATTAGTTAAAAGATTTTATTAATGTTTCATTAAAACTTAACATTAAGATGTAAAAAAGTAAAAAATAAAAATTCATTACAAATATATTAAAACTTTATTTGAGTTTATTATGAATTTTATCGATAAAAGCATTGTCGGGATCTGAGAGAGTAATACAGAATTCTTTACAAAATGAATCACTTTTCACACAATTCTTACTACAGGTATAGACCAGAATGGATGCAAAATCAAAGTCAACATTTGATAGCGAGTCTGATAAAGGCTTTAGATATCTAATCAAAGCCGGCATTAATTGCATTTCGAAACATCTGTCGGCACCGCATGTCTCGCATTGAGGGACAACCAGTTTGTGAGAATCACTATTAACTAACGGCGTTCCCATCCATTGGTATCGAATCACTTGTTTCGGACAAATAGATAATCGCTTAAAGAACTGATAGTTTTTGCGATCACTTCTGTAAATAGTGTCCAAAAAGTTTTGTTCAAACGTTTCGCTGCTATTTGTGGCGCTTTTGTCACAAACCCTTTTGCCGTCAAAACTTTCATACGATTCGATCAATTGGTTGATGTGTTTGTCATCACTTTGATCACCAATTGGTTCATCAATTACTGACACATAAAGAGGTCTAAAGTATTGAAAACATTTGTTGGCTATAAGTGTCGAGTCTTTAGAAGACACTCCATTGGACTCAACACAAAGTTTTGTCATTAAATCCGTGCAAACAGTGGTGCTATCCATCACTGAATTGTCTGTTGGATCAGTTGGCTCTTCGTCCCAATCACTTTGTCCATCAATCCAGACATCTGTTCCACCGCTCGACTCTTGTGGCGAACCACTCGTATCAATAAAAGGTGTAACAGATCTCATACGTTTGGTAAATAATACTGACGTTAGTCATAATTATGTCTGTTTGTTTATCTACTGTGCTAGCCACTCACACAGTAGCTACCCCGTTATCTAGACGCTATGTTTTCAGTTACAGAAACTTGTGTTGTCACAGACCAATGAATTCAAGTGACCAATGGTTCCACTATTGCTTTCACAGCTCAACACTGGATAACCGCCTATTGATTGATACAACTTTAGATATCAATGGTTTTCATTGATTGTCATAAATACCTATTTTGTTGGTCCGATACGAAGAACTATCACTCATTTGGTCTTCAATTTGTTGTTCGCTTTCAATGATCCCAATCAACACATTGTCAGCCATTTATGTATCACTTGTCTGGTCTTCAGACACTAAGTTATAAATATATTTATATAGATATAAAATTATATCGCAATAAATGACACTTTATTAATCAATCAATAATTACAAAGATCAGTTATGTTCAATTCTGGTATCCTAACACAGTGCACCATTTATCACACCTTCTAAAGTGAATGTACAGGGTCAGTAATTCATAAAATATGAATTTAATTTGAACAATATGAACAGGGTTACTCGTGAATCAGTGACTTATAAGAATTCTCGTGGCCTAACCTAACCATATGTGTGAGGAATTGTGAATCAGTTTATTGAGCCCTATATGTATAGCACTAGACTATTCCTAACCACTATTTAACTAACATAGCTGAGTTGTCCTTGCTGATTATCATAGTTAGTGCTGTGTTGCCGGTCAAACCCATTAAACCACAAGTGGTGACAATAAATGAGCAAGATAGTCTGCAAGTTTAATAATTACTTAAACAGTACTCGCATTAGAATTTCTAATTGATAAATACACGGGTAGTCAAGTTGTGCTTGGTACTCTCACTGCACTTCACAGCTAGCATGCATTGACCACAATGAACAAACCCATTACGACATCCGGTGTGACACGAGTGTGAAGATTCAGTCATCTGTGGTCTAAAACCACTGAAAGGTAGGCATAGATGAAGAGATAGGCATTCAATGCATTCACTGTTCACTCAATCCTTTCGTTCACTTTCTTAGACTAGCTATCAATCAATCAATGGATCGATACTTACATTCAATTCAATACTACTTTCAAGACATCGATTGTAATGAATATCTCGACTGAAGTGTTGAACACATCGCGAGTCGTCTATTATGTGACAATTGAATGCATTTGTCTGTAAATGACATCCATTTAGACCTAATCATCACAATTGACGCCTTAAATACTGAATACAATAAAGCGATTCAATTATAAAACTAAACAAACTTTTTCACGGAAAGTCAATTGACGTGAAGTCTCGACAAAAGCTCACGATTTGAGACTCATTTCAAGGCCTTTATGTTGACCACTAGTCTCACAAATATTTGGTTCAATAGAAAAGTTTAGCCTAACGACCATTCGGTACCTTTTGCCTTACACGTAACCAGCATGAGTGGGCTGAGGTGTAGTATGGAAAGGGCCAAAAGGTGTGCACATATATAAACGGATTTGAAAACTGCAATCAAAATATTGTTTTTGTATTGAAATTGAATTTTCGTTAAAATATGAAAGAAATTAAAAATTTTATATAAATTCAATTCAATTGACATTTGGTTGAAGACAACAAGCGTTTGATGACAACATGTGGCCAATGGTTTTGGACAACAGTCGCGATGAGTGCAAGAGATCCCTCCGGAGATATGGTAATTGTCTTTGAATTGTCTTCTTTTTGGAGCCATTCTTACGGAACCAATGATTCAATGATTGGTGTCTTAAATGTAATGCCATTCCTATTACGACAGAACTGGAGGCCTATTCATCGGTGGTTACGGCTCTCAGAGCGCAGGGAGACCTCAATAAAGATAAACGAAAGATTCTTCAGGACTTGTGCTCAATGCTGAGGTTTGCCACCAATTGAATGAATTGCTGGATCTAATGAAGTGATGTCTTAACCCATGACTAGTATAAGCCTTGAGAGACACAGAGCCGAAGTGCGAAGAGCTGTGAACGACGAGAGACTGAACACAATCGCTCACCACATGACTGGTGCCAACACTTGCACCGAATGGACGATCGAAGGCCGACGACTGATCCCTCTGTTGCCACGACTGGTGCCGCAGACAGCCTTCACAGGTCTCGCCAACTCTGTGGCCAACGTTCAGATCAGTCGCAACCAATCGATGTTAAGTCCGTCGGAAACTGGAATCAAACAAATGCCACAAATGGAGACAATGGATGACAATATCGATAGCAATCCCAAGAGGCGGCGCATTGACAGCCAAAGTCAGCCCACGTTTGTTCCCATCAAATCCGAACCACTCTTAGTTCAAAACCCATCAAATCCTCAATCAAACCATCGAAGCCCTAAAGTGGGCGCCATTTCCTCGCGGGCTGTCGTCAGTGCCAGCAATTGCTATACAGTGTCGACGTCTATGGCCTCCCAAGCCATGGGGCACTCGGGAACTCGTGTTATATTCGTGTCCACTCCGACCACATCTCCATCCAATGTCATCACCACTTCCACCAAAAACGTGACCGCAATTCCTCTCATATCGAGGCATACGTTAGGATCGCCTCAAAAGACCACAATTGATATCCCGAACACTCGGAATGCGAGACAAAGGCCGGGCAGACCTCCCACTGTCAACACGACTGTCAACACATCGATCGTCGGCCTAATCGGAGTTCCCGGCAATCAGAAGACGGGGCAAAAGAATATGACGAATAAGACGACAATAAATACGCCAACGCTGGCGGCAAATGTGCCGCGTATTCCTCTGATCCCCGGCACACAAGTCTTCACCAAAAGCAATGGTCAGCAACAGGTCGTTGTCTTTCCATTCAATTCGCGACAATCCGTTTCGGTACCCATCAGTCAAACGGTTAAAGCGATTTCCATCCCGTCGTCTTCATCGCCATCCGTCACCACAAGCGCACAGACACTCATCTACCAGAGCGCCGCTAATGTCAAGAACGTACAGAAAGTCCAGACACCGAACCTCATTATAATGCAACAGAAAAACGTCGGACACATCACTAAACCCATCACTACTATCCCTATGAACGCCATCACTCTATCGAAGGCTAATATCGCCAAAACTCAGATTAAAAGTCCTCTTTTGGGGACACATAAGAAGACTGTGGTCGACATCGGACCCAATCCCGGCCTCCAGAGCCAGACATTCACTTTGAGTGATAACTCGAAGATCATTACAAAGCGATTGCAAGCGTCTCCCAAAACTCTACAAGAAATGAGCGAAAGTTTTCCTGATTTGAATCAAAGGATCATTGAAATTGACGCCACGAATGAATCATTTGCCGGCATTTTGAACAGTTTTAAAGTAAGTCTTGTAAACAATTGTCTCTATTCTCAGAAACTAATGACAACTGTATTGTGATGAAAGGGCGGTGCGATGTCTCAGTCGGAGTTCATTGAGTTCATCAAGAAGTCTAGCATTTCGAGTGGTGGACAACAATCTGGTGAACACCAGAGGGACGAGATTCACGACGAGTCGTCTGAAGACACGGTGTCGACCAGTGAATCACCACTTCATGAGATGAATTCAGAGTTCGGTGACATCCCGGACACGGTTTGCACCGAAAGTTTAAAAACAGTTTTCGATAAATAAGTGAATCTTTAATTTAACTCTAAAATCATTTAAACCATTAATATATTGTATAAAAATTCGAGCGTAAATCGATTTGTGTTTCAATTCATACTATTGTATTAATCACTTTTTAATTTTCAATTAATTTAAATAAATTTAATTATATTTTTTACAACATTTTATTTATTTTAGTTTAAATTCTTAATAAGAATTTAGAAAAACTTAGAATTAAAGGTCATGTTTGGTTATGTTAATTCAATTCAATGTTTAAGATGTTTTGAAAACAACATTAATTATTGGTTGTAATCAATGGTCAGGTTATTCAACAATCGGGGGAAAGAATTGTTGTCTTATAGTGTACTTAAGAAAAATACACGTTTGAGAGAGAGAGAGAGAGAGAGAAAGAGAGAGAGAGAGAGAGAGAGAGATTGGGAATCTAATGAAAACTGTTTGTTTCATACCATTCATACCATACTGTATATTAATAGCAAACCTGTTTGACTCGTTGGTTGCTTTAGTTCTTGACTTCAAAGTTATGTTTCATTAATAGAACACATTCTTAGCGTTTGGTTAGTATTTAATGTTATATCCAATTGAGTGGTGTATTAGTTAACTGTTAGTTAGGCTGTAGAGTATATGCCTGGAAGTGTTGGTGCAGTTGTTGCTCCAGTCTTGAAGTTTTTGTCCTAATTTAGTGCCTCATCTATTTGGATGCAGTTATATTCGGCCACCGGGTCTATGACTTAATAACTCGCATACTATTCATTCAAAATGAAATTTATTTTTCCAACAAAACTTCAAACCAAAATGAATCACAAATTATTTTAAGTTTTTATATTTTTGCAAAATTTTCTTTATTTTAATTCTTACGAATGCACTGCAATTGTATTGAAAAGAATTTCAGAAATAAAAGTGTGTTTTATTAGAAACTTTTCTTATATTTTCAAAAGTTTTTGATATTTTTGTGATTTTCTTGAAGTGTAACTCAACTAATGTATTGCGACTAAAAATAAAATGATATTTAATCTCATTTTCTCACTCGTGAAGTGAAAACCGAAGAATTGTATGAAAAAGGTTTGCGAGTTAAATAAACTTTGAGTCCACATTTACAATAGTCTTAACAAATGCAAAAATATCCCACTCAACTTAATTGTCAACAATTTTGTGAATTTATCGTAAAATTAATGAAACCAAAAAAGTGTTGAGAAATAAGTAATTAAGTGATCAAACAATGGCATCATTTATAAAGCATTGGTGTTGGGCTTTGATTGTCATTCAGTTTATTGTATTTTGCGATTCATTTGACACATCTATAGACGACAATGAAAGCGATATAAATATAAAATCAATTTTAAGTCGACTGAAAAGACAGACAGAGTATAACGAATCGGATTCATTGTTTTCTATGAATCCAGTGACAAATGATTTGATAAACTCGTCGAATAAGAACTCAAACATATCGTGGGATGAAATCAATGAGACTTTCGATAGATATTTAAGTGAAGAAGAAGTTCAGAATAAATGGAATTCAATGGAAATGAATTTGAAATCTGGTATAATTTTATTGTCTAATCATTACTGCAATTTATTTCATACATAATTATCTTAACAGGTGTCCGAACATTATTACGATCAGTATTCCCAAAAATAGTGTCCATGTCTTCGGATGCAAAAGTGAGTGGCAATTGTTCCGCAGGAATACTCAAATGGATTGTAAGCTTAAGGCATCTAAAAAGTTGGGCCGTTAAGAGTGAGTTGTTATCTAATCTCAATGAATATTCTCTTAAAACTTTATTTTTAAATAATATTAATATTAATTTTTATTAAATGATTATTAGTTTTGTAACTAAAATTAATTAAGTAAAATTTAAAATATTTAATAAACTATTAATAATACAAGATATTGTTATTGTTTAACAAATATTTGTTCTCAATATATAAACTTGCACTTTAAATATTTTTTCTGACTTTATTATAATACAGAAAGTTATCTTATATAAATGTAAAGATATATTCAATCAATATTATGATATAAATGTAATGTGATTATAGTTGATAACGAGTGGATAAAATTAGGAACTTTATCAATTAAGATCTCCAAGAAAACATATTTATTTTAAAAGTTCAACCCTAAATGGGGTCGACTGACTGTCCATTTCAAATCAATGGCATCAAAAAGTCTTTTGATCGACTCGTCATTAATTTAATATATTTACAATAGTTTTATTGAATATTCTCTTCCGGACTTTGAAATGATTTGTAAAAAACAAAATTGTTATGCAATTATTAATTGACAAAACTTAATATTTATTGTTGAGTTTAAGTTTATTAATCAACTTTAAAGTATAAAACATCATAATAATAATATGTAAAACTTGCGTAAAATTTGCATGCATATTTTATATTATAAAATTATTTTATAACCAATACTACTTTTATAACCAATATAAAACTTTATAAAGTAAATGAAGTTTAATATGTGGGAGCACCAGGGTAATCAGTATATCAAACAAATACTAGTCATTGAAGTGTTGAGTACTATTTTTACAAATTTTTAAAATTTTGTTTTAAAGACAACCAATTTTATTATCACTCTACAATTCTACGGTAATATAATATCAAGAATTTTTTTATATTAGAAAATATTTAGCAGTTACAGTAGTTTTATGTAAATATTATTATTTTTGTTATAATTATGACTTATAATAATTGTGAGAAAAATATTTAATAATATATTAAAATTTACGTCAATTGTTATATCATTATAGATTTATCTGAGAAATAATTAAAGTTGAAATGAGGACACAAATGAATTGAATATGAAAATGTCAATTTAGATGTTTATACAATAGAAGGACAGACCTTCTAATTTTTATTGATGTATTCAATCATTAAAACAATGCTTTTGAGTACAAATTCATAAAATTCAAGAGAATTTGCTAACAGATGAGATAAATTCTGGAAATACACCTCAAGTGTGTTTATTCATTAGATATAATATTTAAATAAAATACTTACGATATGAATATATGTATTCGGTATACAATATATGACTATATTTAAAGTTCTTATAAACAATAAATGATTATTAAACACCGGTTTTATTTGGAAAAAACACTAGTCTGAAGAGCTCTCACAATTCAGACAATTATTTAAAGTTTGCCAACTCTTTTTATAAATAAGCTAATTATTGATATTTAAACTTAAAACACACAATTCAATGAAATGATGAGATTATAGTTTATATGATATAAATTATAGCCGTCAAAATTATATAAAAATAAATATTACCGTGATTTATACTTAACAAAATTCTATACATTAGGATTAGTAACACTGTTGTGCTATTTCAAAATATTAATACTTATTATAATTTATCTAAAAAGCATGAAAACAAATGAATGACATTACAGTATAGGAATATATTTAATAGATTGAAATTGAAATATATTGAAAACTATCTTATTCTTTCTAATCAATAATAAGTTTCTTATAATGTTTCTAATTATAATTCTTTATAATTGGAATTCTTAATGACTATTTGTATTAATACTATTGTAATAAATGAAAGTTACAATGGTATGTTACTAAGAATTTTAAAAGGATTTAATAAGAATTTATTAAATATTTAATATTTGTTAAGATATAATTTTATAATACTGAAAGATAACTTATTTTTAATTAGATATATAGTTATATAAGTTTGTTACAGTGTAACTTGGTACTTTATATCAGATTTATAATATTTATAATGAATATTGAACTAAAATTATATTAAATTTGATGAAAAGTGTTGGACGCGACCGGAAAGCCTCCTTCTGGCATCTTCGAAGGAGTGGTCACAATGTTTGGCAACTTCGAGGAATGTCTTAAAGTGAGAGTAGCCGATGACGACGACAGTGAATTGGATGACGAGGGGAGGGAACAGTTTAAAGAGTTCTTTAGGGGACAGTTCTGTGTCGCAGAATTTAAACCATGGCTTCCCAAAAAACCAGCCTTTTATGGCATGAGCTCTAAGATTAAGGGACTTCTAAGAGAATCTGATGACACGGTTTGTTATGAAATTAAAATTCATATCATTTACATTGATTTCATTTATTAGGTCTACAATGATTTCGCAGATTTAGCCCTATTTTTCCATTTTATAACATTTCGTATGGATTTCTGTGTTCCCTCGACCTGTACTCGAGAAGACATACAAAGAGTTTCCACTTTAAGTAAATATATTTTAAATGTTATAATTATATATGAACAAAATTCTGGAACAAAACAAATTAATTAAATACTTTCAAAGCACATAGAAGATTTTTAAAACTTTCAGGTTATTTATAAAACACATAAAATAAATATTAAAATAAATTAACTAGGTTAAAATTTTAAGTGAAATGTAATTTTATTGAACACATTTAGTCGCAAAGAATTTGGAATTTAAGGCAAGAGTTCTTCGCTGTGAGACTGCAAATGATTATGAAGTGTGGAGTATATATCAAATGCTGACAATGTATGTGTTATTTAATTAATGTTATGTTTAATTGATTTTATATTTTATTTAATTATTTAACAAAACATTCTAGATCAATTCTTAGTCTCGTTACGTTCACAATAATCGTAGCAACGATAACATCATTATCTGTTAACTACCTATCAATGGACCACTTTTTGCTCAAGTCATCCAAATTCCAGTCACTTTCACTGATGACTTCGTGGAACGATATCTTTGGACCACAACAAGCGACTGGAGATAAACCAATACCTCTATACGGGATCAGGGCCATTGTCTTGATTTGGATTATAATAGTACACACTGTCGTTGTGGTCGACTTCCAATACTTCCGTAAGAATTATAAACAAAATGTCTAGAAATTCATTAATAAATTGGATTTTAGGCGAAATGCAGACAATAAAAACCCTGGCCATGCAATTCCCGATGCAATTGTTCACTAATAGTATCAACCAATTCGAGTGCCTTTTATTGATTTCGGCATTTTCTCTCTCCTATTATAATTTTGGCAAAAATGCAAAACAAGTTATTCTATTCACCGTTAAAAAATACCTCAGGTTTGGGTTTGCTATATATTTTTAATTACAAAAAATTAGTAATTCAATTTATTTAACCCTTGTCCTATAGAGTGACTCCATTAATAGTCTTAATCGCGAGCATAACTATCCTTTTGCCAAATCTACTAAAGAGAGGTCCACTAACTCATGATTTCATCTTAAAAAAGGCAGACAATTGTGAAAACAATGGTCTCTGGAATCTACTCTATATTCAGAACTTCTTACCATTGGATACAACAGTACACTAATTAAATTATTGCTAGAATTTTCACTAAAAGTCTTTTTATTATAGTGTTTGCCAAATACCTGGATATTTTGTGTGGAAATGCAATTATCACTAGTGTTTATTCCTTTGATTGTATTACTCAATAAAGTGAACGAGAAAACAACGAAAGTATTTTGGCTCTTATTTCCAGTACTTTCTATAATTGGATTCTTTGTGAACGCAATCATTGTATATATCAATGAATTGCCTCCAAATTTCTTCTGGACCCTTCCCGACCCGGAGTTTGTTTATTAGCCCAATAACTGGGAACACATAATAAAATTAAAATTTTATTTCTGATTAAATTATAGACAAAGAGACGAATATTTTCATATTTATTTTTATAAGCCATGGACTCATCTGTCAGTGTTTGCCATTGGATTCTATGCCGGAGCCCTCAGAAGAATTAGCAAATGTGATGAGTATAACGATTACACTAAATCTGTATGTAATATAAATGCAATGAAAACGTTAATTAAATTTAATATGAGATAAATTTGTACACTTGAGGTCAAGTCATCGACGGGTTGGCCCATTAGTATAGTTGTCATATTAGTGCTAATATATGGCTGTCACGATTGGGTTATTGGAGAACTGCCTGACGTTAGTATAAATTATATTTCATTTAAAATTGTTCTCATTTTCTAGTGTTTAATTATTTATAATTTGCCAAAATAGTCACATATTAGGTTTGATTCACTTCATTGAGTATTTTTCTAATTACTTTGAGTTTAAAATAACATATTTTTTAAATATTTTAGCATTAAAAACAAAATTTAAGCAATTATCGATTTTAATTAAATTTTAAACTCATTTCAATAAACATTTTAATAGGTTTAGTAAAACTAATTATTGTGAAATTCACTTTATATTATCGTTGAAGCAATGTTAGAGTGAAATGTAATTTACTTTAACATCAAAAACAATTAGAAAACAATTTACATACAGTACTGTAAATGTAATAACTGAAAAACTATTATTAATACAGTAGTTATTTTGACTAGAAATTACAACTTAGAAACTTTATAAAAACTATTAAACTATTATCTGTATCGTGCATATGATTGAATGGACAGCCATTTGTGTCGGCCCTCTACGACGCGACTCAGAAGATCTTCTGGTCATTAGCCGTCTGTTGGATACTCTTCACTATAACCGCGAACTCAGAGCACTCGAAGCAGACTTTGATTGAGCGGTTCTTTTGCCATAAGTTTTTCCGATTTATGGGTCGCCTAACACTAGTGGCATATCTAATGCACCCAATGGTGCAGTCAATGCTACTGTCCAGCCAACAGCAACATCTCTATAGTTCCACACTTTTGATGGTAACACTAATTATTATCAAAATAATTAAATAACTCACGGATTCTTACCATTTCAGGCCTATGTAATCATTGGTAACATAATATTCACATACTTTTTGTCGTTTTTGATTTCTTGGATTCTGGAGATTCCGTTGTGTTCTCTACTGAACGCACGGATTGTTGGAAATAATGAAAAGCAATTGAATGATAATAAATGTCCACAAAATCAAAATTCTTGCGAAACAAATGAAATAGAATTAGGAATTACCAAGGAAAGACTTTGAGAGTATTTTTGATCCAAATATTTATTGCATTAACACTTCGGACACTAATGTATTCAAAGTATTTGTGCAAAAATACATGTTTAATAAATAAATGCCATATTTTGTTCATTTTGTTACAACTTATGTCTTATTTTCAATTTATAATATCTAGTATCTCATTAAATCTCAATTTATTATAATCTGTTTTATTTAATTATCTCACCAATTACAAAGATTAATATATTTTTACATAAAAAGTTATGAGAATAAAATTAAATATTTACCAAAAATGACTATTTATTAATATAAAAATAGAGTAATAAATAAGCTATCATAACATGACCAACAATAAAATCATGATGCTCATGATTATGACAATCTACATGCATTAAATGATCAAGGAACTAAATGAGAATTCTTATGTTAAGGAATATTGAGGCAAACTGAATGTAGACTTATTGTATGCATTAACAGCACTATAGATGTCGTTACATGTGAGCAATGCTAACCACAAGTCATTTAAAGCACATGTTTTTGTTGACTTTGGAGATAATATTGTCCACAAATTGGACACAAATTGGACACAAATTGGACACCAATTCATGTTTTGATCGATTGATTGAATTATTATTAAATCAATAAATAGTTTCACAAAACAAGTGAGAAATGGGTCGCAAAGTGAAGACCGGAAAACAGCGAAAGGATCGCTACTATCACTTGGCAAAGGAGACGGGTATGTCATCTGCGGTCACTTCCATCACATTCACCACTCATTATCTCCCAACTGATCCGCAGGTTACAGATCTCGAGCCGCATTCAAACTGATTCAACTGAACCGGAAGTTTGAGTTTCTTCAGCGATCAAAGGTGTTGATCGATTTGTGTGCCGCACCGGGAGGTTGGCTACAAGTGGCCCAGAAGTATATGCCGGTGTCGAGTGTGGTGGTAGGCGTGGATTTGGTGCCCATTAAGTCGATCCACAACGTGATCACAATCCAAGACGACATCACAACCAAACACTGCAGGAATGCGTTGAGCAAAGAGCTGAAGACCTGGAAGGCGGATGTGGTCCTCCACGACGGCGCCGGCAATGTCGGCAAGAGTTGGCTTCACGACGCCTTCAACCAGAATCGGCTGACTCTGAGTGCTCTGCAATTGGCGACAGAGTTCCTGATGAAAGGCGGATGGTTTGTGACGAAAGTGTTTCGATCCAAAGACTACAACTCACTGATGTGGGTCTTCAAGAAGCTGTTCCTCAAGGTTCACGCCACCAAACCCCAGGCCTCACGTAACGAGTCCGCGGAGATATTCGTGGTCTGCCAGAGCTATACATCTCCCGACAAAATCGATCCCAAGTTCTTCGACCCGTCGTTTGTGTTTGAAGACGTAGAACAGGACGAAGACTCCGAGAAGAAGACGAAATCCAATCTTCTGAGACCAGCCATTAAGCAGAAGAAGGCAAAGGCTGAGGGATATGCCGACGGAGACTACACTCTATACCACAAACTCAATGCTTCGCTATTGATCTCCAGTTTAAATCACATCCAGTTATTGAGTGATTGCAACGAAGTATTGATTTTTTATATAATTTTGTTTTAACTTAGTTTTAATGTATATCTTGTCTTAATTCAGATAATAATGGATACAAAAGAGATTAAAGAGCACAGACTTACCACTCCTGAGATCATAGAGTGCTGTCAAGACGTTAAAGTTCTCGGAAGAAAGGAATTAATGTATAATAATTTGATTTACAATTATATACCTTATTATTAAAACTCATTTAATTTGATATTATTTTTTAGTGCATTAATTGATTGGCGAAAGAAATTGAGAGCAGAACTCGTCAAAGAAGAGAAGTCTTTGACAGAAGAGGCAAAAGAGCAGAATGTGGTCGAAGACGAGGTTATCTCGGATGCGGACGAAGTGGACCAATACATGGAAGAGGAGGCCAGGGATGCGAAGAAGAAAAAGAGGAAAATTCTTAAAGAGAAACGAAAACTAAACGAAAGAATGAATTTAAAAATGATTTTGAAAAACGACGAAATCATTGAAGAGGAGTTGGAATTATTTCAGTTGAAGAACATTAGGAACAAAAAACTTCTCAATCAAATCGAGGAAATCAATTTGAGTGACGTTGAGGTCGATGTGGAGGAAGATAATGAGAACGGGGAACAGACTTTTAAGAAGAGTGAGAAAGTCTTCTACGATAAGGACTCACTCAAGAGTGCAAACGATTACGACGACAGTGGCAACGAAGACGAGGACAAGGATGAGAGCGAAGGCATCGGTGATGAAGACATTGAAGTCGAACAGAATATTGGGAATCGAGTGGAAGAGAGTGATGACGAGGACGACGGCTTAGTTGTGGATCTCGAGGACACTACTGAAGCGAAAAGAAATAAAACAAAAATGTTTTTCGAAAACGATATCTTCAGGGATGAGATGAACGACTCGGACGACGACATCGAATTAGAACTGATTGAGAATCGATTGAACCCTAAGAATAAAACTCATGACAAGAGAGAGAAGAAACAGAATAAAAGACAAATTGAAGACCAATTGGAAGACAACGAAAGCGTGAGTTCTGACGACGAAAACGAATTGAAACCAAAGAATAAGAAACAAAAGAATGAAAACAAACGGAACGAAAAGTGTCAGAAAGACGTGAAACTGACGCCCGAAGAGCTGGCCATCGGAACTCTTATGATTAGGTCTCAGAAGACTAAACGAGATATTCTGGACAACGCGTGGAACCGATACGTTCACGAAGACGACGAGTTCCTGCCCTCTTGGTTCAGGAAAGACGAGGAGAAGTACTTCAGAAAACCAGTTCCCGTCACACAAGAGATGGTCAAAGAATACAAACAACAGCTCCGAGAGATCAACGCCCGTCCCATCAAAAAGGTGACCGAAGCCAAGGCCAGGCAGAAGAAGAAGGCGCTCAGGAAACTAGAAAAAGCGAGGAAAAGGGCCGAACATATCACTAACGCTCCCGATATGACTAACTCAGAGAAGGCTCAACACATCAAGAGGTACTCACTTTTAGTATTAATTTAATTGAATGAATGCTTTAATTGTTTGTCTGTCTGTCTGTGTGTTTAGCGCCTATAAGAGAGCTCTGAAGGGAAACAAGAAGGAAGTGACTTATGTGGTGACGAAGAAACATCAGGGAAAGAGAGCCCCTAAAGGAGTGAAGGGTAGGTATAAAGTGGTCGACTCTCGCATGAAGAAAGACAAGAAAAACACTAAAACTAACCCCAAATCCAAGTTTAATAAGAAGTCGAAACCTAATAAACAAAAATCAAAACAAAGACAAAAGCCATCGAAATCCAGACGTTAACTCATAATTAGGTTTAGGTTTAGAAATATTTTTATTTTCAAATATTGAAACATTTATTTTCTCATTTGTATTCATTTGCCTAATAAATTAAAACAAATTATGATTTACTGGTAATAAAACTTTTGCAAACAATTCAATCAAAACACACTATTATTAATACGACATTCAATGAGTTTCGGTAATCTGTTGACCGACTCTTTAATACCACGAGTTATCTCCACTTTAGCCCTAATTCTCAATCTCTGAAGTCGTGGCAAATATGTATCAATGGAATCAAAAAACTTCTCATTTAATACACATCTCATGAAAATAAGCGATAAATGAGTCAAACGTTTCAAATGAGACAAAAAGTTTTGAATGAAATGATCAAAATTCTGTTCACTCGTATGGCCGCCGATTGAGATCTTCAGAACTTTTAATCTCTTTAATTTGGTTACAGATTCGTATAATTGGTATAATTCTGTATCACTTCTCGGGTGAAAACTCACGTCTAATTTGACTAATTGTTTGCAATGTGTGGCCAACTCTTTGACAAAAGGGATGAACGAGTCATTAGACTCTTGGAATACTTTAGCCATTCGGAGCTCTCGTAAGGATTTCAATGATAATATCTGTGGCAACACTTTATCCATCAGTTCTGGTGAGATATCATTGAAATTTATTCTCAATGCTTGTAAGCGATTCCTGTAGTGATCGACAAATATTTGCCACTCAATCATATGATCACTAAAGAAGTGGCACTCAATTCGTGTGAAATTCTTGTGCAACAAATGGTTACTTTCATTGAACATCTTCAGGTGATGTGTCGATAATTGTGTCAATTTTGGGACAGTATGTGATGTCAATGTCGACGTCTTATAGTACGGCATATCAATTGATGTCAATCTGTGGCCATATTTAGCGATAATTGTGTTCACGATTTGGTCGTCCAATGAGAAGTGAAAGTGAACTTCAATTGCAGTCAAGTGTTTGAATGCATTCACAAGTGTCTCAAACAATGTGAATGTTTCCGGAGAATGGATTTCAATGCGAATTGTGGTCATGTTTGGACACTTCTTGAGTACTGATCCCAATGCGTGATAATTAATATGTTGGACCAGTTGTCCATTGAGTCCATTCACTGATTGCATCCAACCAATCACATCCACAGTGTTATGTCCCACTAATACAAGTCTCTGCCACTGTTTGGACACACATTTGACACCAAACGACTCTTTGAGTGGCAGATAAGACAATAATAGTCCGCATAAATCATCACCGAATCGATTAAATGAGTCCTTCGAGTATTTGTGTACCTCTTGAGTCATATTCATGCAAATCGGTGGTAATGTTGGCTATAAATACAGACAATCCATGCAATAGTTAGCTTTGAATGGCTTTGAAATGATAGTTAATACAAACTGTTGGACGCAACTGTTGGCACTCATTATCTTCTACTTGATCCATGTCTTTGTGTCCATTGGTTTGAATGACAACTCGAGCCAATCAACTCTTCTGTCTATTGAATGACTCGTTATTTGTGTCATCAGTTTGTTGCCAATGTTTGGATGCATTGAGATGTGATTGACCTGTGAGTGGATGCCATGGATTCAGTGACACAATGACCACAATTACGATGGACTGCATGTGTTGGACACCACTCTCACTATGAAGACAACGATCACATCACTGGATAGCAGTGTTTATCCCAAAGAGTGTTTCGACCGCTTCGGCGATGACTTATGCGGACATATATTGTCTTATCTGCCAATTGGTCACAAACTGGTCTTTGAGTGCGTTTGCAGACAATGGCAATCAGTTATCTTCAACTCACAGAAGATACTCATTATCACCGAATACTCCAAACAAGTCCTCAACAAAGAGTTGAGACAAAAGTTCCGACGATTTCAAGGCTTTGACGAAGACTTTAATGTCATTAAAATACAGAACAGATTCTGGATTCAAGACAAGCAAAACATTTTAAGACAATTGTTCCGCAAGTTTAAGTTCATCACTGATTTGCGGATCAAATGCTTCCGAATAAGCAATCAATTGATGTCCGAAATGATCGATTACTGCAGTAATCGTGTGACAAGTGTTGACTTCTTCGCCGACAATGACATGAAAGCCGTTGTTTTGGAGGGTTTTGGCCGAAAATTCGGTGAAACGTTGGCCACAATTAATATCAATAATCTTAAAGACAGAGACATGTCGTTGATATTGAAGTGGTGCCCAAACGTGAAGACAATATATTTATATAATTCACTCGTCGTTTTGTCGAAACAATTTGTGCCAAAACTACAAGAAATCAATTGCCGAAAGTCGGTCGACAGCAACGATTTCCACTCATTTGTCGATCACTACAGGAATCAGTTAAAGAAGTTAACGTTCGTCTTGTCGTACAATTTGTCGACAAAGTTATCAAATGTCAAGCGTTTACTAATTGTCTCCCAATTTGTAAATCTCGAAGAACTCTATATAACTCTATCGCGAACTGAAGACTTCTCTGCAAACTGTATGCAATCCATAACCAAAGAGTGCAAAAAACTCAAACTTTTGACATTAAATGTCTTTTCCTTGACATTCAATTCAACGTTTTTCAAGAATTTATCCGCTTTTGAGTCGTTGTGTCACTTAAGGATCAGTCTCTTTGAGTACACGCCCGCACCCGATGCTAACCAACCCATCGATTGCTTCAGGATTTGTTCAAAAGTCAAATATTTCTCAATCAATACGATTAGTCTGAATGACGACGATTTGAGTGTAATTTTAAAATGTTTTCCTAATTTAAACACATTTTATCTCAACTGTCGCACCGATGGTCTCAACATAACTGACAAAACATTAGATAATTTGACAAAATTGCAAAACTTGTCGACCCTTTCGCTGAAAACCTATAAATACTTTCCATACATAACCGACTCTTCAATGGCTTCATATCTACACAAGTCGTCCACAATTAAGACAATTAGTATCCGATATAACTTGGAGTCAATGCAAACCATTGAAGAGTTGATTGAAAAGGCCATTAAAAATCCTACAATTTTATACAAATATGATTTTTGTGTTAAAGATTTAGATCACTATTTGTACACAAGAAGCCAATTAACGGTTCCAACGAATCTTAAGTTGTTTGCACTCAATGGTGATATGAGACAAGACTTTATTTGTTCGTTTGATCAGATTTGGCGATTGGACTCCGATTATGACAAATACAGATATTGGCTTCACTTTTAGATACTTATACTGTACTCAATTAATGATACTAGGTTAAATATTGATTAAAATTTAAATATGTACTGATTCTTTGAGACAAACTGCTTGAACACTACTTTTTGTTTCATTTCAATTGAAATGTTTTTGATAAATGATCCAGCAAATATAATTGAAATAAAATACAAATAATCCAGTTTTTAATATTTAAATTAATGACAATTGAGTATATATTATACTGTAACATGTTTGAACTGTGAACTATGAGCAAGGTGAACTGGTTGTAGCCTGCAACTTGCAGGATGCAAATGAGTGTATGACTCATGCCATTCAAAGTTAGCGCCAAAGTGTGAGAAATGCAAACCAATAGAAAGGATTTGTGGAGAGATTTGAATTGAATTGACATAAGGTTTGCATTGAATGCATGAACTGTTCATTCATTTGTGGGACAATCACTTGATTTGCATTCAATTCACTCCACAATTGTACTGCAATTCAGTGAATGATTTCATAATTAGTGAATCACTGAAACATGACTTCAAATACATTGGTCTGCAATGCAATAACACTTAAGGGATCCGTTGATATCATCACCGAATTCTTCGGTAAGTCTTCATCAGTCTAATGACAATTAATTAGCTAATGAATGGATTTAATGAACAGATTATGGGATTAACAGTATTTTATACCAAAGAGGATTATATCCATCGGATCGGGTAATTAAGCCATTGTTTGGTGTGTTGTGACAAATGTTAATCTCATTGTCATTGTTGTGGCAACAGTTCATTCATTCCCAGAAGTATGGTTTGACTCTATTGATGTCCATCGATGACCAACTCAAAGAGTATCTGTCAGTCATGTTGAACCAAATGAAGACATTTATGCTGACAAAGAGTGTCCACAAAATGGTGTTAGTGATCATCAATGTGGAGACACACGAGACTGTGGAGCGCTGGGAGTTCCTCATCGACTGCGACAAAACTATCACTGAATCCGACTCTAAGAGTGTGGACCACAAAGAGATACAGAAAGGCATTCGCGATGTCATCCGTCAGATCACAGCGAGCGTCACGTTTTTGCCGCTATTGGAGGGGAAGTTCTCCTTTGATTTGCTTCTGTTCACCGATAAGGACACAGACCTGCCGTCAGCCCTTTGGTCCGACTCTAACCCACACCTCATCCCAAACGCCGAAGAGGTAGAGCTGAGAAGTTTCTCGACGGCTGTCCACAAAGTCAATGCTTTGGTCTCCTATAAAAATTGTGAATAACTTTTTAGAAATAACTTTTATATTTGTTTTAAACATTTGATAACTTTTCACATATTTTACGTTTACAACCGAAATAAGAGGCAAATTATGAAAAATAATTTTTTACTTAAAAATCATTAGAAAATAAATTACAATTGATTCACATAAATATGTATTGATTTTATATTATAAGACAATTTAGGGTATAATTTATAAAACGATTAGAGCGTCAATCGAAATAACATAACATTTGATTGAAAGGTTAAAAACTACACATAAATTGATATCCAGTTCCCAATCATTGAATCCATTTATGATTTCTTGTACTCAATCCTTTCAACCTTCACTTCTTCGCCAATGAGTTGATAGACATAAGTGACGACAGTTGAGGACTGGATGTCCATTAAGACGAACGATGGGATGACGTTACTGTCCATCACATCCACATTAGTATCATATGAGTGGTAATAAAGAGTGTTAAATGAATGAATACCTCTCGAGTGCGGTGTAGGCGCCGGTGGCAGAGCCCGGGTTGATATAGAAGTTGCCGTCACTCTCGTAGGCCTCGAACTTATGGGTGTGACCTGTGATCAGGATATCGACGTCCAGTTGTCGCTGAATCAGTGCCAGACTCTCCGAGTCAGCCCACGGCACCAGTTGGTGGCCGTGACATAAGCCGATCCGGAACTGACCCACAGTTACCACCTTCTGCTCCGGGTATGACGTGTTCTGCAATACACCCACACATCAGACCTTATTATCAATCAAATGGTCAATTGGTTGACCGAATTCATGGATCCGGTGGTCACCCCATGACATACATCATCGAAGTCTCCCCTAACGATGTGCACGTCTGTGGCCAATGTCTTCAAGTAGTCCAACGACTCTTTGGTGCAGAGATTACCCGTACATAAGATGTGTTGAATCCTTCCCGGGATTAACAACTTCTTGAACTTCGCTGGAAGTGAATGACATCTGTAGGGGATGTGAGTGTCGCCCATCACTAACACCAACTGCAATCACATCACCGACCAATCAGTTGCACATTCAATACATGAGTTATACTTACCATCTTTGGACCAAATGAGTGGCAATTCAGTGGTTATTAATCAACAGATTATCAAATGAATCAATGAATGAGTGATCACTGAATGGACTCTTTGGTCGCGTAAACAGTCATTCAATTGTTCAATACATGTGTCAATGTATGGCACCAATGGCTGTGGCCCTCAAACCTGTATTACTAATGTTGAGCTCAAAACGCCTCTTATTTGTGAAATAAATGATGTGTTTTTCAAATGATTGATCACTGCTTACAGAATTCATAGTCATATACAGAATATTATTATTATATTAATTATATTTCATAAATCCTATGTTTTAGGTTTAGATTCATTTTATGTGAATACAGTTTTCACATCAGTTGGTTGATCACAGATTATATGACTACCGGCGCCCTATATTTGCTTAAAATCTATATTTATTTATTATGAACGTTAAGACAAATAAGTTGTGTTACGGGTAATGAGGAATTCATTTATTATATAAAAATTTAATCTAAAAAGCATTTCATTAATAATGAACATTTTAATCAATTTATGGCTTTTATTGATAGCAAAACACAAACTCTATTACTATTCACACAAACAAACAGTTAATCAATAATTGATTAAAAATTCTGACAAAATATATGAAGAGAGGAATAATGAGCAGAATTTAGGAATAATAGTCGACTCTATTATAGCGTTGAGTAGAGTAGGGGAACAGACATTAGATTAATGCTCTGCTCATCAAATATATTATAAAACATTTTTCATATAAATTCTGTTTCTATTCATTGATAGCAATCCATAAACTAGAGAGCAGTTGACGACAAAAGGAAACATTAGTTTTGCTAATATATGAACGATAGTAGAGTGAAGTCTAATATGAATATATGGTAAGAATGGATGCAATTGAGGTCACTCTCCATACGACCACCAAAACGACTTCCCTATAAGAAGCTGTTCCACACTCTCTCATAATCTCATATGTTTTACAACACAATCACTGCTTCCCAAACTCCATATCGACCGCAGATTTTATCGTTTGATTGACATAAACATGAAAATTGTTTTTAATCGCAATTGAGATTCAATAAAATTTCGGCGTTTTTTAAACTTTTTATACCTTTTGATTACTACAGAAATAATTTCTTGTGAATCGATTCCGAAGTTGTCAACAAAATTCTTGTAATAAAATTCCCAAAATTTGAATTCGAAATTTTATAAATTAACTATTTGAGCCTGATCATTAAGCCTACTGTATCGCACAGACTAATCGATATAAATGCTATCATAGCACTATAAAATTAATTCATAGATCTAATAAAACAATCATTCATAAAAATTTGTCTATAAAAACAAGAATTTTAATATAATAGCGATTCTGTAAAGATATCTAATTTATAATGAATACAACAAAACATTGTTGACGTAAGAAATAAATGAAACATAATTGAGATAAAAATCAAAAAATAATTTTCCATTTGTTAGTTACAAAAGAATTAATCTTTATTTCTAAAGGAATTAATTGTATGTTTTAATCCATTATTTTAAAGTTAAAAATTAAAACAAAAACACAACTCTTTTGATATGTGGAATCAAAATATAAGTGAAAACAAAATTATTGATTAATTTTTGAGTTATAAATTGCTGAACAAATAAAAAGCAAATCATTGCCATAATTATGTTTAGTGGTTCACATTCTGTACATAATATGTGTTAAAATGTGTGAAATTTGGAGCCAATTATGCAATTATATAACATTAGAGGTATGAACACAATACGGGCACTACTGCTGTGAAAATATTTTGCAGATTTACACCAAATTTTTCTATTTTTATTGTTAAGTAACTTGAAAAATATAGTGCAAACAATCAATAATTATATGTCAAAGAATCCGTAATTATAAGTGAAATTACATGGAATAGGAATAATAAGCCTTAAATTATTTAACCAATAATAGTAATCATGTTTTTCATACATTCAATGATTAAAATATATTTAAGACATTTTATCATCGCTATAATATTAATAATAATTATATTAGTGTTAATAAAATTCTCAACAAAAACATAATAATTCAAATCAAACATTATTTTTTTGTTTTATTTGTTTTTATTAATTGAGTTTTGTTTTCGTCAAAAACTACACATCTATGGCACAAATGATTAGTAAAAGAATTATATAATAATATCAATAATATATAATTAATATTATAATTAACTTTTTTGTTGTCTTTTGAGTTCGTAAACAGAATTATAGAGAGAATATATTTTATGCTAACATTCATTGTGAAGCTTAAGAATATTCTTGTGTTGTTTTATGATGTAGACTCACAAAGGGGTAGAGATTGGTAACAGGGCTTAGTGTTGGATCAAATCAATCACAATTACTACTGCTTTTAGGTTTGTGTTGAAATAAATGATAACTGAACAGAATTTCGAGTCATATATACAATGATATTTTGCGGGGAATGTAATGGTATTTCCTATTCTAATCACAATAGAGAAGACTGTGATTTATATTTTGCCCAAAAGTGCAATTAATTCATATTTAGTTATAGAGTATTCATATTAAAGTAAAATCTAAACAGTATTTCAATTGAAACCAATGAAAACGAGGCACTGCTCTTCACATGAAATGTTATATTGTTTTTGTTTTTCATAAGAATTTTCTGTTAAGTTATTTAATGTATGCTTTGATTATAGCGTAAAACAAATAATAGTGTGTTTTTAAGAGTTTGACAGCAATTCTGAATTTTCTTAACACTTTATTTTCAGTGACAGACAGTCTTTGAAATAAGTCGTGAAATCGATGACCAAATTTCAGAGTCAATACTGAATCCGTGTCTTATTTACGCAAAATAAGTCGTGTTAAGTGTTTTCCAAGACATCAAATACAGTATACGTATAGCAATAGCACAAGGATTTACAGAATATGTGTTCCTATTATAGCTATAATTAAGAGGAAAATTCAAATTTCTTTTGAAATATAATCGGATATTAATTTGTGATTACATTAAGACTTTATCACTTGATCATACGTACACTTCATATATAAATTTTTTGATTTAAGAAATTAATCATTAATTACATAATTAGTATACAATTAAGGAATGTTTTAGATTTTTATTTTTATTCTAATTATGAAATCAATATGTGTTTGAAATATAGAGCAATGAATGAAATACAATCAAATTATTACTCAATTGTATGTATTTTTTCTTATTATCCATTTTATGTGATATTTTAGTTATTTTATTGTCATTTCTCTTATGCAAAGACAACACAAAATAAGAGCAAATTAATAGAGAGAAGGCATAAGAATAGCGTATACTTTAAGATCATATCTATTGTATACTAAAACAAACAAAAATTATAATAAATGTTCACATAATAGGGGAAAAGAAATTAGATAAAATATTTTACATCAAAGTATTATATATTAAAAAGCGGTAAAAATATAATAATAAAAGAATAAAATCAAAATAACAACAAAAAATAAATGTAAAACATTTGATAATAATCGTGTAAAATTAGAAATATGTTAAATAAGTAGAGAATAGTTTGTAAATATAATGACAAAAATGGCATTTGATAGGACTTATACTGAATGTGCTTGCTGCTTAAGCTGCTCATTGCTGTTCATTTAAGAACTTGACTGAGAGGTAAATTAAGTTTATCATTATTATTACAGGTATATTAGTAGTGTATAATATCTTATGGTATGGTATGGCATAAGCATTCATTTAAGAGTAATAATCCATTCAACGATAATAATAATATATGAGAGAAGTTTTGTCGGAAACCTTGTGTTTGTCTCATAAAAATCGATCCAATTTTTTAACGTATAAAATATGTTATATTATTATTAGCCGACAAAACAACTTCTCTCGCGATATTAGTATTATCTGTAAAGTGTGTTTGGCTTATGTTTTAGACTAAATAATTGCTTCAATTATGATTATTCTCTCATTATTTTCAGAAATTATAAATAGTTTCAAAAGTCAAGTCAAGTCATGGCATTAAATATGAAAATTAAAAATCTAAAACAAAAGGATTTGCAGGTTTTCTATAGTAAACGGTTGTGTAATATTCCGAAACTACTAATTAGTTATTGCATTTGACTAACGGTTTATATAAGCAATGTTTGCAATCAGAGTGTCATTAGTATTGTTAATATTATTCTTAGTTTTTTCATTAAAATTAATTTTTTCAAAATATCTAAACATAATATCACTTATAGTTTGGTGTCAACTCTAAGCCTGTGTTTGTGAGGCTTCGAAGTACTTATACGTGGGGTTCTCATATCCATTGATCTGCATGTTTGCCACATGCCGTTCCTCAGGGGTCACCGCCTGATCCACTTCGACGAAGCCCTGACTGTGTGGCGATCGTTGGGTATGTTTTTTCAGCAAAACTATGCCAACGATGGTTGCCGTCAGTAATGCGATGCCCGCGAAGGCGAGGGTTATGTAAACACTTCCGTTCCATCGGAGTCTCTGGTGGTAGGGCTCACGGCGTATGGAATAGGACTTCATAACAGATCCAAACAAATGAGTCAAACAATCAAATCAATGTCATTGTAGAGCACTTACAGCCTCGTTGTGATGGAATGCCTGACTTTGTATATACGACTGCTTAGGTGTGGGCACCATATCGTGCACTTCATTGGTCTCCTCGTCCTCATGAGGTATAACACCCGCCGAACGCATAGGCGTTGAGCTCACGGGAGTGGGTGTGGGCGCCAACACTGCGCTACTGGCCCTCTGGTCGTCCTCATTGCTGGTGCGCTCGTCCTCCATGGACTCGGGATCGAACTCCTGCTCCAATTTGCCGCTCTTCTGGTTCGCCTCCACCCGTCTCTTCTCGTCCTGAAGTTCTTTCAGTTCCTGTTTCCTCTGCTCCTCCACCATCTTCTGGCGCTCCCTTTCCTGTTGCTTCTGAGCCACCTCTTCCTCATACCTGTCCATAATCGCCAATTCAGACTCTTTTGATATCTTCTCATCGAAAGGAATTCCTCTGAGATTATGCCAAAAGGCAACCATTCGGCGCTTGATTTTGTCGGCGATATTGGGAACCCTATCGAGCATTTGAATGGATTGGTTGGCCATTCGGATCAAGTCGTCCAAGTGGTCCAACATTGCGTCCTTGTCTTTAAGCGCTTGTTTGGTGTATGAGTTGAGAAGATGTCTGAAGTGGTGGAGAGTGTGAGTCCTATCCTTCTCCAGAGCCCGCAATAGCTTTTCCAAACACTTCTCAATGCGTTTGGTTTTGGGAGGGCTTTGATCTAAGCTCTGTGTAAAGCAATCCATTGCAGACTTTTTGCGCAAATTAATTATAGTCATCACTCTTTGCTGATGCATTGAAATCAATTGTCTCTTCTCAGCCGAACCCTCCTCTTCCAGAGCCTCCACAGTCTTCTGGAAACGTCCCGTCATTTTCTTCTTAAAGTCTTCGGCGCCCTTCGGGTCTTTGATCCGCATTTCCTGATAGTGTTCCTCGAGTTCACTCCACTCTTTCATAACCTAAACGACCAAAAATGATATCATTTTTCCATAAAAAACACATTTCGATAGATAGAGTTGTTTTAATGATTGCATAAAAAGACATAAAATGATAATTCAGACGAAACACAGGTTTTGATACGATTTTTATACAGTTATCTAATGTAAGGGAGAGTTTGAGTGAACACTAACTTTAGTGACTTTCTGGCGATGGTTGTCCTCCAGTGACTTCTGGGCTGATTTGAACGAATCGTGTTCTTTCTGGGAATCAAAATGACTTAAATAGAAATCAACGGGTCGTTCAGTGGTTGTGGTGGTGGTGGTAGTCGTGGTGGTGGTCGAGCTGCTCTTGAGGTCGTCATCTTCATCGTAGTCGTCGTCGTAATAGTCATCATCGTCTTCGTCGCTGTCGTCGCCCTCAGAGTCGATGTTATCATTAATTTTGTGTTTGTTGTCATCGATTATGTTGTCCTTAACATCTGTGCCGCTGTTTGTGTGCATTCTGCGAGTGTTGTCTGCGTTTGTCTGAGGGTTAGGACAGCAGACAAACTCGACACCGGAGAAGATGCCGACCCCACACGGCAACAGCATTGCAAAGCTCTGCAATTTCATCGTCCGTTTGTCACAACTGGTGGTCGCAGTCCTGTTCCAGTAGTCAGAGCTCTGACAGACGCTCTGGTTATGGATGTGATCGAAGAGACAATGTTCGGGCACTAGTAGGGCGTCGCTCTGGAAGGGCCCCTCTAAGCACCGGTAGGGCTTAATCCAGTGCTTGGCTCTGCACTTCTTTTGGCCTAATTTACACCAATTGTTAATTTTGTAGTATTTGTTGGATTCGACAATATTTCTGACATCTTCTTTCGGGTAAACCTATTCATCGATAAATGTTTGGTTAAATTAACTGCAATTTTACGTATTGTTTGATTCATTAAAAATAAGCCAAAACTAGTAATGAGTATTGCTATCGTTCAAAGACCACTATTTATTGGCCTCTTTGGTCACATCCACTACAATAGCGGTGATGTATAGAGTTATGTCAACTGGGAATACATTAACAAAAAACAGTCAATGAAAAGGAGAAACTAAATGAAAGTTTATTCCGATTACAAGGGTTTACCAGAATTTATTGTATGGTATGAACCAAAGATCGGTTTATCCAGAAAAAGGAAAGAAATAAATAAATACACACTTTTATCTTCTTATTAGCATTTCATTACTTATAATATAAGCATTACATCAATACTCTTGATATGAATATTTTTATGATTACTATATATTACAATACATTTATTGTCAAGACTTCTAACCACTGTTTGATTTATATTTAATTAAATTCTATAAATATATTTCTTGCGATTCAAAGCAAATCAAACAAATATATTATATATAGAATGAAATCATTAATAAAAAATAAATGATTTATTGACTTTAAATGAAATCAAACTAGTATAATTTACTGTGTAATTAATTCATAAAAAATCTTTAGATGTTGTCTTCAAACGATGGCAACAGATGTTAACTTAAAATTTATTTTTAAAAGAAAAATAATTCAATTTGTTTGCCTTTCTTTGCTTTGCTTTGAATGATTGTATGACTGGGACTACCAGTGAGGGGTTAACTCTAATCAGAAAATTCATTAAAATGATGTTTTGTTGTCAAAACTCATGGAAATAATTATCTCGTGGTTTACTGGGAATCCATTAGAAATGATGAGAGAGTGACTCAATAAAGTCACCGAATATTTGCAATAAGTCTTAAGGTTTGTGTCAATCGATAATCGAGGAGAATGTGAACAGAAAGTTAAGCACTTTTTGATCAATTTGTATGGTTTGAAAACTTAAATGAGAAACATAAGTGAGTTATTTATATAAAATTCTAAATTTAAATAACTTGCAAAGAGTTTATAATTTTCTAATTGTTTTAAATATATTAACAAATTTTGTATTTATATTACATTAAGAATGAATGACAAGGAAGTGAAGGGCCCAACAGCGGGCCGACTGTATGTGAACCCCAGTAGTCAGCAAATTAAGATTGACTTATTGGTAGAGTGGAGGCAAACACAACAAAATATTCAAACTATAGCTATATATGGCTCCAAGAATTGCGAGTCTTTATTCTCAATACTATTCATAACATTAGATGTAATCCTACTTTTATGAGAAGCCTTAGGCTATGTGTGCAATGCATAAGAGTTGAGTGATTTACTACATCTTAAGCAAGTTTTCCAAATACAGCAAACTTTTCTTAACTAAAGATATTTCAATGCATTCATACATTTGAAATGAAAAGCAGAAACAGTATAACCTCAGAGAGAAAAGTCTAAAGAATTGTTTAATATTTTAGTGAATATAAGATATTTTAAACTAAACATACAAGTGCTTGAGAAGGGTATGTGAATACAAATTATTGACTGTTTTTGCTAATCTTGTATGAAATCAAACTACAGTATACTGTAATGCATACATACAATAGAGCTCATGCTATGAAAATATCGTATAACTCATTAATTATCCAAAAAACATATGAAACTTGTGTAATGATTGTTACACTATTATAACAGATATGAGAGAAATATTGAACAGAATTGGGAAACAAGAACTCAAAGGGAAGAGAGAATTAATTTGAAAGCAATTCTCTTATTATTCATTGTATTCGCTGTACATCTGTTTGCAAAGTGAAGCCAAACGTCCACTTATTCTCCAAAGGAATCGTATTATCGATTGATTTCCACTTTTGTTGTTTAACTCATTTTTGCTGCCAATAAAGCACTCAAAATCACTATTCTTTAGATTCTACACTCATTTAACTGTTTAATGAATTATAACCATTTGAACACAAGAATAATCTTTTCTAAACAATGAATTCATATCAAAAATGCATATTTGTATGAAATAATAATTCTATAGAAATGCAAACAATGCTCATAATAACAAAATGTAACGATTGACTGCAACTATAGATTAATATGTTTGTAATTCATTAATAAGTTAAACGTAACGTAAATGAGTGCTATTTATAATAAGTTCTCTGTTTATTAATAATGAAACTTCAGTCGAAAATTAACGATTCATTTAGACATCAAATATATTATTTATGACGAATACAGTACAGAATCCCTTTCTGAATATTATATAATATCTATAAATTTGATATATCTTTAAATTATTGGTTTCACTCTCGTATCCAACATTTGTTGAGGTCTTTAATGGTCTACAAAATTGAATATTTGCTAAGAATTGTTAAGAATTGATGAACAAAATAACAGACATTAATATTCATAAATTATGATTAAATTTATATAACAGGGAGACAAAACTTTATGACTCTATGAGTGAATAGTTTGTCAGGTATTCATTTAAAGTCTGTAAAATCGATACACAACAGCATTGGTAGGGTTCACACAAATGAATTGATTGTGAGCTCAAGAAAAAGCATAATATGTTGGGATATATTGTGATATTGTTTTGTGTGCTCTTCTTCTGCACATTTGTACTCAACGTATATATACTCTACTCCTGTAGTCCTGTATTATATGAGTCGACGCCCAGAGTATGCATCAAAGATATGCATCGAAACACTCGAATGCCTTTCCAGAGGTTGTAATGCCTTTCCAGAGGTTGTGATCGATATTTGGAGTTTGAGTACACTTTGGGCTCAGTTCTCATTGCAACCCAACGTAAGAGATGGTTATGAATGAAATATAGCCGTAAAGGTATAGAGACTCGCAATTCTTTGCATACACTACAGTACATACAGTATCCGATTATTATTAGTCATTCGGCTTAATATTCATTTGAATCGATCAGAATTTATGTCATTATTTTGCGAGACATAACTGACATATCATTTGTATCCAATGAATTACAAAATTGACGGAATTGTCTGTTTATTGTAATAGACTTACAGTGAGAGGAGTTTCTAATCAAATCAGTCACACGATGATTATTGCAATACTAATTCATACCTTAATAATTAGATTCACATCTAAGGAGTAACTATGAATTTACTAGTTTTGGTTATTCACAGATATAATGATTGTGAACAATTGATACACCAATTAGACTAATGATCTTCCGGCATACCTTTCGACAGTATTCGAGAATCTCGAGTTTGTCTTTAGTGCAAACGGCTTTGGGGTCGGGATCTGAAATCCATCGCTTGTTTTCATCGAGATATTGGTTGTGATACTTGCCGTGTCCGCAAAGTATAGCCACCATAGGCTGGAAATGACTCAGTCCTGTGTCTATGTTCGCCGCCAATGCCTGTCATAGAAAACAATACATTTTAATTATAATTTGTTGCTGAAACTATTTATTTAAAGTATTATGATTTTAGTCCACATTTAGCAGCATTTGTAAAACAAAACGCGTAATAAATTATAGTTATTTAAGGGATAATTAACTTAAATGAGGGAAAAGTAAATAGACAAATATTTTCGCGATGAGAGTTAAGTACAGTTACTGTAAAAGTTTTTCGCTTAAAATATATGACTGTATAATATAATAGAGTTTTAAGTTTCGGTAGAAAATCGATGAAAACTACTCGGAAGAGAGAATTTGCAAATTAAATACAATTGCAATCAAATAAAAGTTTGCTTCAGCGATGAGTTCAGACATCGTTTAATGCGTCCAAACGGCAAATAAATCTAATTAATTGTTAGCCTAAAGAAAATTTATAGTTTTAAACGATTGTTAACAATGAGAATGAGATGAAGACATGATTTAAAGCAACGTTTGGCTCAACAGAAACGACAAACGAAAATATCACCAAAAATAGATTGAATATGTGTTTTATGCGAGAAAATGAACGGTAAATGTGAAGTCAATGTTTAATTCTCTTTTGCAATAATATATCACAAAAAGGGAATCCAATTAAGTGTAAAGCATGAGAGGAAAGGCCTGAACAATTACGCTCAACTACCGGTTCACTCAATTGCATACTTAAGACACAGCAGTATTTACAGACCAGACAATTGCCATCAACGGCACCGACACATACATTGCCGTCAATGGCCCTAAAATGCATTGATCGCCACTTTGGTAGTCATCAACTCTTTTTTCTATTACCACTTTTACTCTGTATTACAAATACATCACTTCTAAGAGAGTCTAATATTTGATTTAATTTTAAATTTCTTTCTTTCCTCTAAACCATCGAAAATGAAAATCTCGAGAATAAAAGACAAAATGTTTGGTTTGCTTTCACTTCATAGCTTTAAAACATATATCAAACATAAAAATATTCTCCGATTTTTAAAGTTTCCTAAATATAGTGTATCTCTAAGTAAGTTGTGTTCCTTTAAGAGTTTCTTTTTTTGGAAAAATAGAAAATCATAAAAATAAATGAAAAATTTTCTGCAGTTTTCAAAATTAAGGCAATAAAAAGAGAGATAAGATTTAAGGCAAAGGACTTCTCTGACATAAACTGAGCGCTAAATTATGGAAACATTACTTAAGGTGTGTTCCGACGAGAGTTAGACCTAAAACAAGACTACAAGAGAGATGTAATTATTTGAAAATCATTGTAAATAATATGCTTAAAACGGAACATTCATTTTCTTAACTAAAAATCGATTCTCTCTCTCTCTCTCTCTCTCTCCTCATAGAAAAGAGTATAATATTTCTAAAGATAATTGAATTTTAAGTATTTTTGAAAAAGAAAATTGCGTTCAAAATAAAAAACTTTCTTTTCATATTTAATATAAAGAAATAATTATGAGTTTGACTTTAAGTTACATAAAAGTTATGTAATTTAAAAATCATATTAAGTAAAACTTCAGGATTTCAAATAATAAAAATAAAATTCTAGATTTTAGCAATCCTAATTTGTTAGTAAAATATTTATATAAATGCAATTCAAATTACAATTGGAGTATACTATTTTATCAAAACCACGAATTAAATGCCGCCATATATTGTATTTCAAAATATATAATAATTATTCAAAGAATTCAATTTGTGTGATTTTTGAAATATGATAGTAACCATATTTTAATAGTAATACTTATACTGTATAATATTTGCAAAATTATGTTATTTCAAATAACTTACTTGTAATATAAGGTTTTAATGACAGTACAATTGTAAAAGTAAACTAGATATATAAATATTTTTTATTTGAATAGAAAACAAAAATCAACATAAATTAAGGCTTTAAGTAAAATATTGAATAAAAAGTTTTGAGTGAATAGTTTGAGGCATTACACAAAAGCAAACTTTTACGATAAGTTTGACAATATTATAGTTATCGACTTTTTCTACTCTATTTTGTAGACTCAATAGATTTTGTGCTTAATATTCATTTTTAGTAAATTTTAAAAATATTTACTTAAAATATATATCCAAAACACAAACTCATTATAAGATTTGCAATCAATTGAGGGGAAGACTGTTTGCTAAAAGAATTGTCTGAATTATGTTTTGCAGTACTTTTTTCTTATAAATTAATTATAGAGGACTATAATGAGGTAGAGTTGGGGCAAACAAATGTTATTTAATAATTTACAAATACTTTTAACACAAACTTATTGATTGTGTTGTTAGAAAAGAGAGTGAATTCTCTTGAAATGGTAGTCCTTTATCGATATAATTGAAAAGTTAATAGAAATGGTGTCTCAATGAAGAAAATACAAGAATTTAAAATTTTGATGAAATTTTCAATTCTATAGAATTTCTTTAATTGAAATTTCATTTAAGAAAATGGGATAAAACTGTTTTCTAAAACGGTAAAACACTTACACAATAGTAAACACAATTCAAAACTGGAAATATAACTTCTCATTTGTATTTTACATGCATTCAGACAATGGATGAAATGGAAAATATATGTTTGCGGTTGAGACTAAAATGCTCGGGTATATGGATATCATTAATATATGATGGTTACTAAAAGCATTTCTAAATTTATATACAGAATATGGTGTAATGAATCATTAATTAATAACTAAAATTAGAGTTAAATTTAAAATAAAATTTTCAATTAATAATTGCTGCGAATGAATATCGTTAGAGTTTGGGATTAAAATAGATTTGATATAATTTATTCAAAATAAAATTTATACAACTTTATAAAAAATATTTTAAAAGCAAATTAATTTCTCAGAAGAATTTTGTGGAATAAGTAATCCTTTTTTATGAGATAATAAATACTATTTCAAGGTTTTATGACAACTATTAATATGTTTTTATATTAAAATTTAGAAAATATTTATAAATATAATCACATTATTGCTTGAGACACGCATTAAACTAGTCTTTAGACGATTATTCAACGCTTCATATATGAAGTATAAATATATTTAAATAAAAAATTCAATATTCATTTAAAATATTAAATATACTGTACTAAATGTACTAGTGAATGTACTGTACTAAAATTTAATATAAAAAACTAAGTAACTTTTGCCAGACATGCCTAAAACTAATTTACATTAATTATAATTTTTACACATCTTTAACAGCCATTAATATGCAGTAAAAACAAAAACTGTTACATAATTACAATATTTTTCAGAGAAACTAATTAAAGATTAATTTCATATAAAAATTTAATTTTAAAACGTCAATTGATATAATCTATAAATATTTGAAAATTGCATTCAAAACGTATGTTCAATATATCAATATTATAAAATGCTGTATTGAAAGACATTTACAAATATAAACACATATTTATGATATATTTTTGCAAACAATGAGAACATAGCGTAAGAGGAAACATGACATCAACCGATACGAGAGAATCAAATAAATTCTCTGCCATTGAGTTGAGGACAACACAAGAAATCAATAAAATTGCGTTAAATATATGCATAAATACAAAAACCAGAGTCAGTAACACCGACACTACACTGTGTGTAAACCCCAGAGACTGAAAATAGCTCCGAGTTTTGGTTACTTTTAGAGACAATCAATGTTTTTATTCTATATTTTGCACAATTCATAGTACAGTATAACAGTAATGTTCTATTCGTGAAACAAAAATACATTTTGTGTTTCAATTATTAAAACCCAAATTTCATACACCCTTTTAGATCCCAAATAGATTCACTACATTAAGTCTAAGCTGGTATTTGATGCAAATACTGTTCAATTAGAGTGTCTTTAGGTCAGTGAGAGTTTGCAAATATTGACTAAATATAACATAAACTGTTTTTCAATGAGTAATCAATAATTCGTTATAAGTTTTTTGTAAGGCTTATGTCAATAAGCTATAGAAAACAGACTTTTTAGACAACAAAAAAAACTAAGAAATGAATTCAATTCAATAAATTGTTTTGTTGTGAAAAAAGAAGAATATATTGAATTACAAAATGAGATACTCTTTTGCGTAAAAAGCACTCGCAGTCTGTGTAATGGTTTTTATACAGTATTTTAAGAATAATTTTATGTCATATGAATTATGGCTAAAAATAATAGATAATTTGAATGCATTTATTGTTTTGTGAATAATTTCAAAGCAAGCTCTTTAGTTTATTTAATTGCAATTATAATTGAAATTTCAATTAATATAATAAAGTGATACATAAATAATTAATAATAACGTATAAGTAATAGTTCCCTTCAATTCCGGCCTATTTATAAACTTTGGATTCAAATAGAATATAAAAATAAAAATAATAGTATATAATATGTTATAAAAAGTTAGTACGGTACTACAATTTTATGCTGGTTGAATATACAATATAATACATAGAAGTTATGTTTACTACTAAAACATGTATTGAACACATGTATTCTTAAATCATGTATAAAATTGTCAAACAACAAGAGTTTTTGTCTCATTCACAAAACGTGTGATAAGCGTATGATTTTGCGAATAAATTAACACAAATCTTACCAGTTACTAGTTTATTGAAAAATACATTTTATAAAAAGTCTCCTAAAATGATTCAATTGATTGAAAAACCTGATTTGACATGACATATATGGCGGATTTTATTTAAATTATATATACGGTATATTTGATGACTTCACTATTGAACCCATATATACATCACAATTCATACTAAATATTATTCATGAATAGATGGGATGAGAAAACCCAGAATTTATAATAGAGTACATTATAAATACTACGGGCGCTGTACTCATACTACTGGCGCTCTCAGTCGCTGATAACAGAATTGATTTCTCAAATTGAATCATGAATTTCTATAAATAAATCAATAATATTGTTAAGAATATCACAATTTAGTGAGCGTTTGGTTCAAAACAATTTCGATTACTTGTGAACCCAATAATGACAATCAATAATAGCATAA